AACTCGAAGTGCTAGCGATCGTCGAAGCCTTGAAAAAATTTCAAAGTTATCTCTTAAGCACAAAAATCAAAATAGTCACAGACTGCGATGCATTTCAGAAGACAATGCAGAAAAAAGATCTGACACCAAAGATAGCTAGATGGGCACTGCTACTCGAAGAGTTCGAATATGAAGTTATTCACAGACCCAATCCACAGATGAGACATGTCGATGCATTAAGCAGGCATGCTGTGTGCATGGTCACTCGTTCGCAAAGTGAAATCACTACTAAGATCACAGCAGCGCAACAGGCTGATGAGCGACTTCAATTATTGAAAACTCTGGTCGAGAAAGGACTTAAAGATGACTATCTACTAAAAGATAATGTGTTGTATCTGCAGGAGAGAGGTCGAGAACTCATCGTTGTGCCAGAAGCGATGGAATTCGAGATTCATTCGTGGCATACATAACAAAGGACACTTTGCTGTACAAAGACAGAAGATCTGTTGAAAAGAGATTTTCATATTTCGAATGCTACAAAGAAAATAGAAGCACGTTATAATGAACTGTGTCGAATGCAGCCTCTGTAATAAAAAGTGATTCAAAGCAGATCTATTGAACTCAATCCCAAAAGACAACATTCCTTTACGCACATACCACATTGATTTCATAGGACCCCTGCCATCTACAGATATGAGATATCAACATATCCTTACGGTGGTAGATGCGTTTTCAAAATTTGTCTGGTTTTACCCAGTTAAGACAACATTAATAACAGAAGCTGAGCAGAAGCTAAAAATCCAACAAGCTGTCTTCGGAAATCCCTCAAGAATTATCTCCGACAAGGGAACTGCTTTCACTCTAAAGGACTTTGAGGAATTACTGTAAAGATGAAGGAATTCAGCACATACAAATCACAACAGGCATTCCAAGAGCCAACGGCCAGAACGAAAGAATTCATGGAACCCTTATCCCAGTGCTTGCAAAACTGTTAGTAGATGATCCTGCCAAATGGTTCAAATTTGTGCCTGACGTCCAAAGAATCATCAACAGCACCGTCAATAGATCAACGAAATTCACTTCTTTCGAGCTGATGACAGGCGTGAAAATGAGAAATAAGGCAGACCACAGAATTAAAGAAATTCTCGCTGAAGAATTCCTGAACTCCACCATCCAGGAGAAAGAGTCTATTCGTGAAAAGGCTAAAGCGAATATCTTAAAACTGCAGGAGGAGAACCGACGACAATACAATCGACGTCGTAGAACCGCTCCACTTTACAAAGTCAACGACTTAGTAGCCATTAAAAGAACCCAGTTAGGAGGCGGTCTCAAGCTAAGACCTAAATTCTTAGGACCTTATAAAGTGATCAAGATTAAGCCACGTGATCGATACAATGTAGCCAAAGTAGGATCTCATGAAGGACCTGAAGCAACTTTCACTTCGGCAGACCACATGAAGCTTTGGTCTGATGACATCGCAACTTGTTTTGCATTTTGCAAACTATTTTCAAGTGTTTCTTTTTCTTTTTCTTTTTTCTTTTTTTTTTTGTATTTTGTGTTTTACAGATGTATTCATGTTCGGAGGTCCTCACCTGTCGATGGCCGAGCGTGTGGGAATAGTGCCTCAACGAAGCTCCAGATGTCGCTACCTATCACTTCTCTGTACGAACTCTCCAGGTTCCAGAATCTTCAGTTGGTTCGAGAAGTCCGACAGAGGCAGTCTAACAGAACGCTCGCGAAGGAGCTACAACTAGACGCTTGCTGGTCGCGCGTAGGCGATCGGACTTTAAACTTATCTAAAGGGACCGCACATAGGTGGTCTGCTGTGACTTTTACATCTCCATACAAGTTTTGTGATTACTCTACTAAACATATTTAATCCATTTGTACATACTCATTCCGTTTATCTTTTCTTCTATAAAAAAGGAATAAAACCTGATGCTTTGTATCGTGAGTGTGATCTCTGTTTGATGATAAGACGTCACCCTCACATTATTACGTTAAAAAAATAGGATCAGACACAGCCTTGAGGACGCAAGCAGAAGCTTAGCAGTCCTCCCAATTTAAGAAGCTTTTAAAGCAAAGTATAGATATTATGTCATATACCAGCATCTTTTAGAATTTGTAAGACAGATGGCCAAGCATTATGAAAAGCCCCTTTGGTATCCATAAAAATAAGAACTGCTGTAAACTTCATTTGCTTTCCATACTGCAAGACTCTACTAAGTAGGCAAATAAGTGCATCTTAAGGTGACTTGAGTAAATCTGAGCTGAGAATTACTATAAGAACATTTCTGTCTGAAAAACCAATTTATTTTATTAATGAAGAGAGTTTCAAAACATTTTCCCAAAGTAGGTAATAGGCTAATACATCTAATATTGCCAAGATAAAGAGTTCTTGCATCTAAAGTTTTTAGGGATCAAAACAACCCAAGCTCTCTTCCATTGTGATGGAAAGACCCCTAATGATAAACAAAGCTGAATACCTTAATGATAACAATTCTATGTTTAAAAATTATAAAGTTAGAAACAGGGAAAAAATTTTTAATTTCGTACTCGTGAAGTCAATCTCTGCTATTGTGTGGTCACATATGAAGCTCATGATGTCACAGAAATATGTAGGTCTTTTCAATATTGTAGATGCAGTCATGCTTCATAATTAAACTTATAAACAACGTAATTGCATTATTTTGATCTTATATCTGCATTTTAATTACCTATGGTAACAAAATCTGCAAAAATTTATTAGATTCTTATTTGGCTAATCTTTGGAATATGGTAACAGGTAGTTTGGCGACATTTTGATAAGGCGATAAAGATTACTAGCTAGGACTTTAGCAGTGTACATGGATAAAGTCAAGAGTGTGCGCAATGCCATTTTTGTGCAATTCTGGGATTTTTTTTTTAAGTGAAAATAGGTCGACGTGTACATGGATACCATGTATGTGCAATTCTTAAAAACACGGCAAGCAGTTTGCGATTCTGCACTTTCTCCCAATTTCGCACCTAATCTTCGTCATGATTAAGCACTTTTGTACCATAAAAGTTCTAGCATAAGCGTAATTCGGCTAGCAGATTGTTAAAAAAAAAAAAAATTTGATTAAAAAAAAACATGCCTTTACTTTGTGAAAACAAAATGGCGTCCAAACAAAAACTAGCAGGTTGCTGTAGCAGGGTTGGTGTAGCAGGGTTGGTCGCCAAATTTTCGCCAAGTTACCATAATCCAAAGATTAACCTCTTATTTTTATCTGAGTGTTGACCTTCCCTGCCATATGGAGGAAGAAAACCAACATTGTGGTTTAAAATGCATAAGTTTATATTCCACACAATAAAGACAAACTATAAAAAAGAAAGTATACAGAAAGATGACTTTTTTTTAATTTAAACAATTTTAAATGGAAAAATTACTATATTATCACACTCATAAAATACTTCATATAATGCATATGAGTGACATCTACTAAACTGAAAAGACTTATTGGGAATATAAATACATCTCTGCCATTTTTTTTATCAAAAACTGGGCATTTGTTGTGAAAGAACGGTATGTTATGTTTTATTCAAAGTATTGACCATCTCCAGCCACTACTTTTTCGCATCTTTCTGGCACAATACAGATACAGTGTCAGAAGAATGCTTTATCTTTCGAGGCTATCCACAAATCAACCCAATTTTTGATATCTTCATATGATGTGAAGTGCTGCTCAGACAGGCCATGTGTCATCAATTGAAACAAGCAGTAATCGGAAGGAGAAATATCTGGTATGTCTGCATTAGTAGTGGGTACATTTTTCTTTGAGTGCTAAGCTCAATGTCATCAACTGTGTTCCATATAGAACCCCAATAAAGATTTCATTCAGTATGAGAAACTCATAATACATGACACCGAGTTGATCCCACCTTATGCACATGTTTTTTTACATGAATATTTGGCTTGGCTGGCAATGTTGAAGCATGGCCAGGTGGTCCCCATGAGTTCTTTTTCTTAGGGTTATTGGAGTGGATCCATATTTCTTCATCAGTGATGATATGATGTAAAACAACCGTTTTGTTTATGCCTGGCAAGCAGCATTTCACATGTAAAAAAACTGGCATTCAACATTTCTTGGCTTCAGATCATATGGAAACCTATTTCCTTGCTTTTAAATCATTTCCCAGTGATTTTCAATGATGTGAAATTATTTGTTGAATCAATCCTAATGAAAGTGCAATTTCTACTTAAGTTTGATATGTAAACTTTAATCCTCCCACTATGTTCTTTGTCTTCGACATTAAATTCAGCATTTTTAAACTTTTGAAATCACTCAAGACAACTTATCTCATTTAAGGCAGCCTCACTATATACTTCTGCAAGCAATTAATGCGCCTCAACTGCAGATTTCTTCAAATTATAGAAGTCAAAAGTTCCCGCAAATGATGTTCATTCGGCTCAAAACAACAACATTTTTACATGAAAAAAATATGATGCTAATACGAAACCATTAATATTTCAAGGTTATGTTGTTAGCAGATGTCCAACCTTACAATATGTCATTTTCCATCAGACAATTTTAACCATAACTTATTGGTGGCACCATGTTTTGTCAAACAGCAAAGACTTATTATTTATACTCCCAATAAAAGGAGGACGGTCAAGCTGAACAGGCTTTTAGCTTGGGGCTCCAGTTTTGTAAATCAAGTTTTAATTTATTTTATAATTACAAAGTATATAAAGGCTATTTGCATAAAGACAGGCATGACTTTGTGGAGGACATTATATGAGAAACTGACTCATTATCCATGTTACACATGGCGAAACAAAAAAAAAAAAAAAATACCCATGCAGCCAGCCTCTACCCCTGTAATCGAACCCAGATCAAACTGCCACTGTTCAATAACTTTATCACTTGGCTACTAGCAGGCTTTGTAAATCAGGCTCTGAATATGATAATATAACTTTTCTGAGAAAGAATTGCAACATAGAAAGCATAAATTAAACAGACATGAAATAGCTAAAGTAAAGAATATATAATAATGCTTACCTCAAAAAATGAGGCATCTTTTACCATTAGAAAGTATGCTTTCACAACAAATCCTAAAATAATAACTAACCACGGTCTTAAAAGGCTCAGCGAGAAAGAGAACTGCAGTGTTTCCATTACCATTTGAGTGCAAGTACTGTTACGGCGAGTGTCACATCGAGTTCGGCCAAAAGAGCGCGTTTCTGCATCTGACACTTTTTTTGGAAATGTATAGTAATCGGACACATTAGGACGTTGCAAAGCTCCATTTGTTGAATGTCTTTCTTGTGAATTACTTAATCCTAAGGGTCTGTGTCGAGGTATGCCAGAATGAGGTTCTTTATTATTCTGTTTCTCAACTGATGTAGAACTACATTTGCTAAATTGAAGATTATTTTCAATAAACTCATTATCTTGATACTCGTTATCTTGGTACTGAGCAGAGCTGCATTCAACACTTTCTTTCACTGCAGTTTTTTTTACAGAATATTCATTTTTTTTTTCTTCTGAAATGAGAAGACAAAATGAAAGATTTTATATTAATAATATGAATAAAAGTAACAGCTTATACAGCATTAACATTAGGCAGAAAAGAAACTTTTGATTAGCATAGATTTTAAGCAAAGTTCTTAGCTCCTGAAGAAGAGATCCATGTCTGATTGTTTTTTAAATCAACAGTTTTATTGGCACTAGTGTAGAATTGGGTGCCCTTTCGATTGGCGACATTTTTTTTTTAAATTTTGGCGATGAAACCTCACTTCTGGTTACCACAATAGTTTTAACTTTGTTTTAGCTTCCCGATTTTATTTAAATGAAAATAGATTGATGTGTACATGTACATATTTAAAGCAGTGCGCAATGCCTAGTTTGTGCAATTCTAGGATGTTTTTCTAAGTAAAAACAGATTGATGTGTACATGGACACAGATCTTGTACAATTCTTTGACTTCTTATTTTGGTTTTGTGTAGCGGCCATCTTGAAATTGTGTCTTCCTGGCACCGATTTTGGCGTCAAAAAAGAATCTTCAGTAAACAAGGGGCACCCAATTATAAACTTTTACCGTTTTATTGAACATGCAATGCATACCAGATTATTTGAATTACAGCAAAGCTCCGGGAGGACTTGAAATGCAACTGCCTCATATTCACATTGCACATGGGGAAAAAAATTTCCATGCAGCCAGTCCATTTCTAGCAATTTGAACCTGGCTAAAACTAGCAGGTGATTTTACTGTTTGCTGGGCAAATCTTCACCAATCATCTACTTAATTACATAACTTTATATACTCATATTTCTCTTCTAGTATTAATAACTGTTACACATATTTTTAAATAAAAAAAAATGAAGAATATGGTGTTATCCAAGAAAAATATAATTAGTTTGCCTCACACTTACTACTAAAGAATTTAAAATCACATAGTTTGTTTTTTAAATATCTCAAAAAGAATATACAGTACAGCTGCAATAAACCAAATAGTACTTACATACTTTCCTGATGACCATGAACACTAGCAGAGATTCTTTTGGAGTTAAAAAAAGGAAAAGGTTTAAATGGTGTGAAGAGGTTGATAAGACTAAAAATAGATGTTATAAATGCACTGCACCTAAGTTACTCAACTGGAATTCTCAAAAAAGACAAATTAATAAAGGATAGGAGATAGGAGAATGTTTTCTCCATGTTTTTAAAAATCAAAACAGAATCACAATGAACTGGATTATGGAATGAATATCATAATACAATTACAAAACAATACACAAAATAATAATAAAAAAAAATCGAGTAGAGACAAGAATAACTAAGTACAGTAAATACAACTGCTAAAATGCTTGTGTGCGTCAGAAAAGTCTGAATGCCCTCAAAATTGTTAGGAGTTTTATTCAACATTATGCCAATCTCAGGTTGCCTTTTTGCCCGATTTTAAATAATTTCCATCTAAAATTCTAGTACAGTTTTTAAGAAAAACAGTTTCAGTTCTTAGTAAAAACCAATAAAAGAGGCTATGTTTCCCGAAGCACCTAACAACATTCCTTATGCAACACTAACAGAAATGAGTTGCAAAAAAATATTTACAGAATGGTAGCTTTTACAAAATGCCTTCTCAAAAAGTGCTTTTAAACAAATTCTATTACATGTTTAGTAAAAATTAAATTTCCTTCTTCAATACCAGCATAAATTTACATCTGTCATAAATGAAATACATTAAAATTATTAAAACACATACTTTAAAATTCTCGGTTCAATATATTCTGCCCAATAAGTTAAAATTTTTTTTTAATTAAAAAATTCATGTTCATTTCAAATGCTTATGAAGAATATGCTTAAATACCAGATCTACTTTTAGTCGCTCCTGTTATCCTCTGCAACCTTGCTTCAGAGCTTTCAAGTATTTTACGTCTCCTAATCTCTCTTCGTCTAGCAATATCTGCTTCCGCCATTATTTACATTTAAGCCAGACAGACAAAGCAGACGAAATGGTCTTTTATTGCACGCCCTAAGTCTTTCTGTCCCGATAGGGGAAAAATCAAGCATAGGTGTGAAGGAAAGGAATTTCACAGATAACTGAGACCCTGATACCGGAAGTTTACCGAATATGTGTACTTTTTCCCATGATGCCTTTCGAAATTGCTGTAACAACTTAAGGTTACCAGAATAAATTTTAGAGCCAAGTGCATTGTTCAAAAGCAGCCAAGGTTTTGATCCAGTTAATGTTTGTGGTAGGGGAGTGTAATTCTTTTAACATTTTAAATGAACAATATTTCACCATCAGATTTCAGCTGCAAAATGCAAATAAGCTCTGTTGTTGATCATGGAAATTTTACGGCATCTGCAATTATTATTTTTGGTGGTTCGGCAGTTTTAATGCATGCATATGTATATTTTAAGGAACTTCGCCCAAACCCATTCACATAGCAATTACAAAATACGTAAAAGTATGATAAGAAAAAATAACTAATACGGCGATAAATAGCCAATCACAATAACTCTTCATTCGGCAATTGCACTTGAGTTGAGATTACTTGCCTGAGGCCGGTACACATCCGGTACACCCCCTTCGTCGGTGTCTCAGATATCAGCCAGATTCATTCTGGTAACATTTCGAAAGGAATTATGGGAAAAGTGCACTTCCTATTATATGACAGGTGAACCTCTTCTGTCAGGATTTGCAAGAACTAACCGTTCTCCTTTCTCCTACTAAACTTAAAATAAAATAAGTTTACATATAAAATTCTACAGCGTCATATTTATTTTCAAAATCCATAGAACTACAAGAAACTACAACAAAGATCAGATGGTTGCCACTCTTACAGTGATAAACTATGAAAAGAAAAATAACAACTGAGGCTGGGTTCTAACAATAATCCCACCTTTTGATTGATGACATATACTTAATCAATCAAAACAAAATATAACAAAAAATACTGTCCATACAAATATTAAGGCTAAATAGTAAACAAAAGAAAAAATTAAGTTTTTAAATTTCTACTCTAAAATAACTCAAGTAGTGTTCAAGTTAGAAATCTAGATGGAATTTTAATTTGTCGTCCACTTCTAGTCACGACAGTCTTAATGTCCTTTGATAAATCTGCAGCTGAATTGTTCTTTGGTAATTTTGAGACTAAACTGTCTTCACCCTGTGCGTTTCAGTTTCATTTGCCTCATCTGACTCCAAAGATGAAGGTATTCTCGAGAGGGAATATTCTCTGGATTGGTCGAACTAACTTCTCCAGACATGGTTTTGACACGAACTACTCGAATGTTGCCTGTCTTTTCCGGGATATATTGGTGAATTACTTCAATTACTTTTGCTAGAGGCCACAACACCTTGCGCATTTGTCATCACATTACGATAAGAACAAGTATATCCCCGATTTTTATCTGTTGAGAAAATCGGCACTGTAGATGGACGTTGCACTAGTAGGCCGAGATATTCATTTCTAAATCTCTTTCTCAAGAGCTCTCGTAAATTCTGTAAATGTCTCAGTCTCTTGTTGAAATCAATTTTATCAAGTTGATCCAAGTCTGATGATCCAAGTCTTTGGAACTCCAAAGACTGGAATTTCACCTAAAACTATAAAACAAGGACGGTGTCAAAGGGATGAGATCATCTGAGTTCCTCTGATACATAAGTGAGTGGTCTGGCATTCACAGTTGCTTCGCAGTCTCACAGCGCATTCATCAATTCTTTCATAATTCAGACATGACTGGCCTAGGACTTGACGCAAAAGCTTCCTTAATCATTTGAACAAGTCGTTCCCAAAAGCCAGACCCACTATGGTGCTGTGGGTGGACTGAACTTCCAGTCGATCTTGTTTGTAACGGCTTCTATCTCAATGGTATTCCAATTAATTCGATCTCAAGAGGATTAATTGGATCCGACAAAATTGCTTCCCTTATCGCTATAAATTATCGATGGCCTCCCTCTACGGGCAATAAATATTCTAAGACCAAGTGAAAATCCTTGAGTTGAAAGGGACAAAATCAAGTTCCAAATGTACCGCCCTGAAAACAGCACATGTGAAAAGCAAAATCCAAGCTTTTCTTTTATTCTTTAAAATTAATGGGCCAGCTAAATCAACGCCGACAATCTCGAAAACACGAGATTCCTCTCTAACTCTGTTTTCTGGTAGAGTAGCAGGCACATCAGTCTGTAGTCGTTTACCTCCATGTCTCCTTGCATCCCCTGACACATGCATATAAAGCTTTTCGAATCGTAGCTCTACTTTTCAGGATCGAAAATCGTCTCTCCTAAGTTGTTGACATCAGTACGTGAATTCCTGCATGAGACATAGAGAGATGTTTATCAATTATCAATTTCTCCACAATCTTATGATTCTTCGGAAGTAACATCGGATAAATAAAATTTTCATGGTCTTTTCTTTCAGTCAACCTAGACCTGACACGTAAAATGCCTTCGCAATCTTTGAACACACTTTTTGACTTCAGCTTCTTAATATCATCAGATGAAAAAGAATCGTGTTGAATAATCTTCACGATAGATTTTTCAGCCCTTATCAATTCATAAACTTTTAACTCTCCTGATTCTCTTTCTTCTTTCCTCTTTCGGGTATTTCCTATGAATCTGTGTATCCACTCAATCATTTAAGTATTTTCTTATACTTTTTCGCCAAAGAATTGCGAAGACATATCGCAAACATTGCTTAATGAAACTATAACTGCGTTGCGTTTTTCAGTATTAATCTCTTCTTTATTATCGATTGGGATAGAACGAGGCCATTCTTCTTCCGGCTGTGCCAACCAAGGTGGGCCCTCCCACCATCTTGATTCAATGAGTTTCTTCACAGAGCATCCTCTTGATGGCACATCGGTTGGGTTTCCCACACCTGGTACATGATGCCAATTTTCACGACCTGATAGGATTCTAATTTTTGAAACTCTGTTATTCACAAAAGTGCTCCAAACGTCTACGTTCTTTATCCAGAACAGTGCTGGTGACGAATCGGTCCAGTTAGATTCCTTTGAAATTTCGACTTTAAGGTTCTTCTTGACAAATGATGCTAATCGCACCTCAATAAGACAAGCAAGCAATTCAAGTCGTGGTATACTTATTTTTTTCAAAGGAGCTACTCGTGCTTTGGCTTGCACTAGGGTCACTTCTTTATTTTGACTTCTCAAATATACTGCACTTGCATAAGATCCCTGTGAAGCATCTGCGAACGTATGCAAACTAAAAGATTGTCCTTCTGTCAATGAAAGTAGTCTGGGAATCTTCACAGAGGATGACAAGGGCAATTCTTTGACCCACTTCAAGAATTTTCTTTTAATATCTTCAGGTGGCTCTGCATCCCAGCTCAATTTCGTTTCCCAGCTCTTTTGCAAGTATAACTTTGGAAGGAGTGTAAAAGGGTATTTGGAAGGAGTATAAAACCTATTGGGTCAAAAACTCTCTGTACAATCGATAGTACGTTTCGTCTTGTCACTGAGAGATCAAGTCAAGTTGATATTAGGGATGTCACAAAACAAAGAATCTTCCATATTTATCCCACAGAAGACCAAGTACTTTCAATTGGTTCGCTCATTGTAGATTTTCCACTGTTCAGTTCTGTTTGCTCCCACCCTCTTAAAGTCAAAGTTAGCAACTTGCCATTAACTGAGTTGATTTTGCAATAAAGTAATTCTGCTTCTTCATTCGAATTCACTAAAGTGACACAGTTGTCAACATAGAAGGAATTTTTCAATTTTGTAGCCACTTCCTTCAAAGAAGGTTCACATTGGTCCTAAATGAGAGTTGATCACTGCTCCTAAAAGAAACGGACTGCATTTTAGTCCGAAGACTACTCTGCAATGGCGAAATTTTCTTATTTCCTTTTGTTCCGAGTTTTTTCCACCATAGGAATCTTAGGAAATCACGATCAGATCTTTGAATAGATATTTGAGAAAAGCTCTTTTAATATCTGAGATAATCCCTATTTTTCCTTGCCTAAATTCAAGAAGCAATCTAGGTATTAATTCAATTAAATTTTGATCTTTTGCTAAACAGTCATTAAGTGACAGGAAATCTTTTGCTTGCACGAAGCGTCAATACAGGCTTACTGCTGTTGTACAGTTATCTTTGAAGACCGGTCTATGGGGAAGATAATGATTGTTAACTCGTTCTTTTCTGTTACTTCTTCTATTACTCCAGATTCGAGCCACTCTTCGAACACTGCATTATATGTTTCAAATTTATCTTTCAAGCATGAGCTTCTTTGTCGTGGAAATCAATCGTTTTTCGGCAACTTCTCTGTTACTTGGTAAAAATTATTTAGCGTTGATCGAAGGTAAACTGACTTCATATCGATCATCCACCCCCTCTTCAGAGTCTTAAAAAAGTGATCCCACACTGCTTCGTCTAACTCTGAAGTCAGTTTTATTTTCTTTGGCATCTGTAACTCCCAGTGCTTCTAGCTTCCACAAGTTTTCTATGTCATTGCTGTGAAGTCAACATCGACGTTATTGGTTGATGACATGGACAAGGCAGTTTCTTTCTGAAACGTTATCTTTTATCTTTCCCCATCATTGTCCATCCAAGTAGTTGATTCCACAGCAGTCGGCCATTATTCTAATTTCTGAATTCTTCCGGTTAACAGAACACCTGCGACGTCAGCTCCAATAAGAACTTCTATTTTCAAATCCTTTTTTGCTACATCAGATGCATGGATATTCCTCTGTCTTAGTTCTTCTATCCATGGCCCAGGCTGTAAACTGACTACTGGTCCACAAATCTTCGACTCTTCCAACAAGGTTAGTCGTCTAGAAAAATCACCTCTTAGGCTTCTAACGTTCACTTCATAGCGTTTGTGAATTTCTCTCTTTGTTGTTACTCTTCCAAAAAGTTAATGGATTCAAGATTCAAATCCAATCGCGTGGCACCCTATGTCTACAGCAGTCTCCTTTAATATGTATGAACGTTGCTATCCTGTATCGATAAGTGTCCTTACTGTCTTCTGCTTTTGTTTGCGTCTATATTAATTAATAGTGTTTGAAGAAACCCTTCCTCTAGGGATTGGTGCTTGCAAGTGAGACGTTTTGTGTTTTCTCTTCTTTATTCTTTTCAATATCACTACTC